GAGAGACCTCAGGTTGGCTCTTAGTGGAAAGATTAAGACCCTGATGAGTAGTGTACTACTCCTGCCTGAACCAGCCCAATGGCAGGGCTGCTAGCCTGACTGAAAGTATTCCCAGACAGTCTGAAACAGCCTCTTCTGCTTTACAAGACCTATAAATGCTTTACAAGCATTTATACATGTTCCCAACAGATGCTGCTGCACATCTGCTCCACGCAGGCAGCACCTGCTTACATCCCAACCAACTCTGCTTAGAGGCAGCTGAGGCTTAACAAGTCTACGGCCACAGCTGGTATGGCCACACTGATCTGCAGCTGCATTGTCTCTTCATCCTGGAAAGTGGGATTCTACTTTTCCCTAGCTTCCCTTCCGCACTGGCCAGAGGGAGCCACACAGTTTTCAGAGGACATCCTTAGAGGTAAAAGCTCTGTGCTTGTCAGTTGTTGAATTTCTGAGCTGTTCGGTCTTGTCTTTTCCTCCTCCCCCAAACAGTAAAATGGTTGCTGGCACTGTCCAGGAATTCATCTCTTGGCATTTTAATATGCATGAGTATGATCATCCAATTGCTACAATTACACTGTGGGAATCTGTTTCTAAAAATACACCAATCTCTGCTGCCCTTCAACACTAGCAAGAGATAATGTATCATGTTTCCTAGCTGCCAGCGGCACGGAGGATGAAGCTAATCAATACAGCTGGTAATAACATAAAACCAACAACAACAATTATAATTGCAACTGATTTCCCTTTCATTTGAAAACATCATCTTGTAGCCTGCATTATCACAGCTTCAACTGAACAATGCATTAACATGATCACGTGCTTCCCTTTCCGTGTGCTAATTAGAATCCTGTTGTTTAGCTTGAGAGCATCTTTTGAATAGCATGAAGGGGTTAGGTTTGGTATGAGAGCCCTAAACCAGTTCACCCTCTGGCAGGTGCTCAGTTGCTATCCATCAGCGTACTTCCACTGAAATCGGTAGGAATCTACCTGGCTGCAGCACTCAGGATCTAATGGTGTATTTTGTCTAAGGAAATGTGTGCGCGCATCATCTTTTGAATGCAAGGTGCAGCAAACTGCTCCCTGCTCAGAAACCTGATCTTCCATGTTCCAGCTTCTCTTCTGCATTATTTAAATCGCAAGCGAAAGCACTGTCAGTCAGTGGAGGCTGCAAAAAAATTAACATAATGCCAAATTCAATTTTTACCCTTAGAAAAATCATATTCTGAAAGGATTTTGTGTTACAATAATCGCTCTGAGCTTAGATAAGCTACTCGCAATGTATGGCATTACTCAATCTTATTAACAGTGGATCTTCTGGTCCAAAATAACATGTTTGTCTGGTGAGTGAAGTGGGGGTCTGGGAGCCTGACCTTCTATGTTCTGGCCAAAAGTCACAGTGTTTAGGACATTAGACGTATGCAAATAGGTATATTCCAAGTTACAGCACTGACTGCTGAGAAAATCCTCTTACATCTCTATTCTTCACTTTTCCTGTCCATAAATTGACAGCAATAATATTAGAAATGGCAAGGAGCATTCATGAATTAACATGAATTATAAAGTTTGTCAGTGCTTCACAGTTTTTCGGTGAGTGGCACTAAATCAATTACACCTTGGTCTGCGTCTATCAAGGACATCCATTTTGAGGCCAGGATCCACGGGTGAATTCCTCTGGATGTGGGATTTCCACCAACGGTTCTTGCTTGTGGAGAGGACCTGCCACCGCTCAGGAAAGGCAGTGGGAATGAAGGGGAGTGGATGGGGAAGCTATGTGCTGCATCCATGCAGTAATCCGGAGTTGCACCCAGCTTTGCACCTCGGCTTCAGTGTTTCAGCCAGTACAGCTCGTTGTACTTTTATTCCAAAGTTGGGATGTAAAAGGAATCTCGCTATCCTCCACGTGGCCTTTGTACTTTTACATTCAAATATTTCATTTTCCCCTGGAGACTGTGAAAGTCTGTTGCTTTGCCAAGAATGTATCTTCTACAGAGAGCCATATTTTCTCCCTGATTCTCATCTGGATCTCTTCTAGGCAGTGGATATCTTTCCCATTAAATAGAAAATTTCTTAGAGAGCAGCCAGGAAAGAATCCTCTCTGCCTCTTTGAGCATGCAATGCTAGAGCTGCTACTGCAGCTTGTCATACATTACGATACTGTCAGCACTGGCTCTTCTCCCTGCACAAGGGCTTTAGGGGCCAGATGCTGACAGAGCCACTGAGCACATCTCGGAAACATCCAGCCCAGCGTCTCCACCAGCGCTTGGTGACGGCCAGCTCTGCGGCATGAGGGTCTGCCTCTCTGCTCATTCAGAGTGACGCCTGCTCGCAGTCCCCGGCACCAAGGGAGCGCGGCTCTTTGCCATTAGTATTTGGTAGACTAGTACTGAAATACTCTTTTCTCTGCCGCTGAGATTTACTGTTCAGCTTCAATGAAAGTTTTTGCTCATTAACCAGACTTTTATTCCTACTTTTCAGAGTCATAAGAAAGCCCCATTCTGCAAACTAGGAGTCAGCTTAGCTCTGTTTTGCTGTCGCATCTGCCTGCCAAGGGAGACTTGCAGATCTCCTTCAGCCACCTGGGATAGAGCTGCTGGAAGATAGCTCCTTCTCAGGGCTTTTCGTGACGTGACCCCTTGGCATCACAGCCCTGGTCTAGCAGGGCACCAGTGTGGAAACTGAAGTTTCAAAACCTGAACAAGACAAGAAATGTGTAACCTTTGGAGAATGTTGGAGCCAAGGTGGTGTTTCGGAGCCAGCTACTATTCTTAGAAGAGTCGTGAAAGTCACCGTGTAAAAATAAGAACCAGTACAGTATTAGCAAAGAGTTGTATTCATGGTATTTCTGTGAGTAAATCCCTCAGCATTAATTGGCTTGGCTTCAAGTTCAGAAACAGTTCATCAAAATAAGGCCCATCTCGGAGATTTGTGTATGGGGTACTTATCTAAATGGGAAAGAAGTGCCTGTATCAGGTGCTCTGAATGGAGTGTACCACCACTTCCCTTCCTCCCCGCAAAACTTGCCTATATTTCACAGGTCAAGAGGAGAGCTTTTCCAAGGCGTCTGAAAGAGTTAGCCACCAGAGAATTGCCGCAAGACAGCAACATTGGATGTATATATTCCCCCTTTTGAAAATCCCCCCAGCCACTTACCCTGCTGTTGTTGTTCTGCTGTCTGGCAGGGGCTAGATGCTGGCTTTACACGTGGTGGGTGCTCTGCCAAGGTACAGCCAGGCTTCGAACCTTGTGCATTTCTAACGTGCCTATGCCTGAAGATATCAAACGGGTGTGGGCTGACCAAGCAGGGGCAGCTGAGGGCTTACGTTCCACATATCTGGATATGCCAGAGCCCTTTGGGACACACTTCTTAAAGGATGCTCACGTTATATCTCTGCTGTAACAGAACAAAATTCAGAGTGGTTTGGTGTGTGTGGTGGGGGAGGATATGATATTATATATCCTCCTGCTCAAATTGAGTGCCAAATGCAAAATCCAGCCCTCAGAAACAGCAGACAGGACTTACTCTAAGGAGGACTGTACCCCTAAGTGAGAGGGTAGTTTGAGTGCATCCGTACACACAGTTTCATCATCTACGGTGAGTGTAATGAAGGCAATTTTTCAACTAGGGAAGTTCTTGCCTGCTGGAGGCGATATCAAAAGACCGCAGGGCAGTAGGCCTTCTCCTGCTCAGGTGAAAGTTGTCTGCAGGAACAAAATACAGACTGCTCTTGGGGACTGAGAGCACAGATCCTGCCAGGAGGACAGGGTCTGAGGGAAGGCAAGGTGAGCTTGCACCTCTACAACCTCCCTTAGCCACACTTCTGCAAAGGGGTTATTGAAGCCTGAAGTTTGCTGTACGATGTTGCTCCGCACGGTGGGAGGGCTCCTTCCTGTAGAGACTGCGCTTGGCTCATTTGCCCAGACTCTATGCTGGGGCTACTGTCTAAAGCCCATCAAAGTCACTGGGAAACTCCTGCTGGCTCTGAACCAGGTCAGTGCCATACAAATTCCTGGCTGTTGCATTTATCTCTGCCCTCCTTATTTTTGCTTTGCATCTGGGTTACCTGGCACTGTTCTTTAGCTTGGGTTCCCAAGATGTTTTAACATACCCCCTTTGTTTTAAGATGGTGGATAGTAAATAAAGGGCTGGTTTCAGGCTGGCTGTGAGCAGGGATGGCCACAGATCCATGCTGATGGGTTAAAGCTAGGATGAACTATGTGGGGAGTACCTGTCCCATTACCATTTTGTTGAGAAAAAAATAGAACTAACTACATTCAAATCTGGTTCATCTGCTATTTCAGATTTTGAGGTTTGCCTCAGAAACTTAACTCATTTCTTACAGCTGCAATCAGATATTGGGCATCATCCTTTCCTACTTGGGGGTCACATGAAATTTTTCCAATGGCTTTAGCTAGAAGAAGCTGAAACCTCTTGCACTTGCTCAGGTCAGTGTGAACTTTAGTCAGGATCACGTCGAAGAGTGAAACGCTGGATCTCATAATGCCGTGTCTCTAGAGCTGGTCTTGTGGTTTTACTCACCATGCAATCCTCACTCATGAATCTAGTCCCACCAGAGTGAGCTGACTCCGCGTGGGTTACGCTGCAGAGACAGGCTGCTTTATCTGACGCAAAAGTAATCAGGCATCCGTGTCAAAAAACCTGATGTCCTGGCCCTAAGGTCAGAGCCGTGCGTGTTAACTCCCAAGACTTACGCTGCCCAGTGATGTCAGCAGCATGAACCTTGCATGAGTAAGCAAGCTATTCTTTCCTCTAATAAAAGTTGTTTGATAGTTCTGCACGGTGCATTTAAACTAAGAAGTAGTTTTGCAGAAGCGGCTATCAAAGCTGCGCATCTCATTCCAAAATTTCACACTACAGTTTTATGAGCAAAAGTTAGCTATATCTGAAAAACAGTCAGAAGATAAAAGAAGCCAGAAGTTAAAGAAATAAAGAGGGTGTGTAATTAGGATTAGCAATTCAGATAAAAGACAGAACCACCTAGTGAAGATTTCACATTTTATTGTTATTAAAAGTTCATTATCAAATTGGCACAACACATAAAAATAGATCTGTGGTGAATGATACCTATTATTGTTATTATTATTGCCAGATCATTTCGTGCACACCCTCACTTTTTAAAATCAGAAGGTAACAAACATAAAACATTTCATCGGCTAACTGCGAAACCACTGTTACTGCAACAAGGAGAGGCTGTACTTTCTGTTGACTCTACTCAGATAATGCAGACAGAAATATTCCTCTATTCATACTTAAAAATAAGCCCAGGAGAATGAATAGACACACTTTCAAATATATCCCAGCTGAAAATATGGACTGGAAAGTGAGGGCTGGAAATACTCCTTTTTCCTGTGGACCCATTTCCATTGAAGTCAATGGGAGTTTTGCTGTGGTCTTTACAAGCAGCCTGATGTAGCTATTTGTTGACAGATGGATCCAATAGCCCAGCAACAGAAGCTAGGGAGGACCTGTGGCAAAGTGTCAGTTTATTATTTTGATGTTGCACATGCTGCTGAATCTCCTGGTTATAGTAATTGTGCATGTTCTTAACAGCAGTGATTGCCGGGAGGAGCTGGGAGGGTGTATCAAAGCCAGATAAAGCGTCTGCAGCTCATTTCTTCTCCCTGTTTGGGCTGACTCTAGTTCTGACCCTGCACGCCATTCATTGCAAAGTGACCTGTACCGGTAAGCTTTCTGACCCACAGGAGAAACTCGGAACAAAACTCGCAATTACAAACACCTGCTCAGGTCACTAGCTCTTAGTAGACTTGTGTGGATGTAAAAAAAGCTTTTCCTCCTAACTCCTATGCTTATGCAAATAAGCATTTAGGGCGGCCCTCAGCCTGATGCTCATCCACATACTGTCATATCAGTTCTGTGGGTGCCAGGGAGGCTGCTTAGAGCGGCTGCCAACAGGCTTAACAGAATTGCAGTTCTGCAGTTTTCTGTGTAAAAGCCAACCTCAGCGATGACAGCAGCGCTGGGGATTTCTGCAGGGAGCACCTCTCATGGAGGCAGGACGAGCCTCTGCCCAACACACTGCTTGAGTGTCTGCAGGAGATGATATCTTAGTGGCATGGCTACCCCTAAATTTTCCTATTATTTATTTAGGACCCTCTTTCAAAGAAGGAAGGTAAGAACATAGCGCCAGTTCATACCTTCCAAACTCGGCCATGCTGTTCTTTGCAGTATGTTTTGATATGGGGTTGCAGAAGGCGGCAGCTAATGGTATGTCAAATGCACATCCTTGGGAAACTGTCACCCCATCCAAAGCCCGGGCTCTTGGCTGGCTCCGAAATGCCCACTACCTCTCCTCTGAACTCACGCTCCATTAGGACTATACTACATTACGCTACCACAATGCTACTAGCAAGCTTGGGAGTACTGTGGCCACTTCATTGCCATTTCCTCCCTGGTGACTAGCTTTAAATCCTGGAAGATAAAATCACAATGCTGCTCCCACACGTTAAAATCTCTAGGCTTTACTCTCAGCCTCGCTTCAGGAGCATGACAGGGGTGGGAAACTGGCAGAGCAGAACGGTGAATCAGGCTCTCTCTTTGGTTCTCAGGCTGAACAATTTACTCAAAACAACCCTCGAGAAAGATGCTATGCCTCAAGCAGATGTTACATTCAACCGGTTTAGCAATATTATGCCTATTTCTTCTCAAGCTAGTCAAGGAGAGGAGAGAGAATATAATATATGTCAGTGCAAATTCACATAGACAACATATGAATATTTAGTACAAAATGTTCTTTCAAGGTGGGGCAAACATTTCTAATTGTGACACAAAAGGAAGGTATTGCGTAACATTTTTAACAACTTGGCTGTGAAAAAGCATTTCTGTGAAATATGTTTAGACAAAGACTATCTCACACAATACCGAAGTAGTTCAAGGCTCCTTCTGAGTAGGCAATAAACTTAGGTTTTTAAAAAAATAAATTATATCGCTTTATCACAGCCAATTCTAAACATAACCGAGTAATTTGGGGGCAGGGTTTTTTGGTTGTTTTCACTTTTTCAGAAAAAAAATAAAGCTATGCTAAACAGAGGGATTTCACTCTACATGGTTTTTACCCATTCAAGGCTTCCTTCATTTCAAGATTAATTTCCTGATTCACAGGAAACAAAGGAGATATTCAGCTAACAGATTCTAGCCAGAGATTTCCAAAGTCAGTTTGTGCATTCCCTTGTTCCTGAAGAATCAAAGCTTCCAAGAAGCTCACAGACTGTCTGTCCCTGCTGAAAACAATACAAGCTACTGGGAGCAGAGCATGTTGAAAATCTGGCCCAATTTGGAAACAGTCTGATTTCAACTCTGGTAGGGCTTATATCCCAAAATGAAGGTCTGAATAATCCCTCAATTCTGGAGACTAAAGAATTCAGATACAAATTTTGCAGCACAGTCTCCCATCTTAAATTCTTAGGCATTTGCATTTGGCTCTAAGTGTAACTGAACTTTTAAGGCCTGGGTGTCCTCTGACTTACACTGTGTGTAAAAGCGTTCGGTGGTAGCTTCTGCTGCTAGCCAACGTAAACCGAGCATGCATGGAGCAGCCCTTGGTTACATACAGACCTCATCCTTCCTTCACCTGCCATAGCCTGGTACTACCCAAGAGCAAAAGAAAAACAAAAAGGCTTCTGAAGTTTTTTTGCACAGACAACTGGACGTGGACACCCTAAACTGTGATTTTTCTGCCCTTTTCTGAGTGCTCAGCCAAACCACAATACATTAGAAGTGGGTTCCCAGCCCTTTCCACCTCTAAGCCCAGCTTGGAAAGCACAGCAGGCAGAATCAGGTGGCGGGCACTGCTCTCGGTAGAGATACGCAAAGGTAAAACCTGAGTGAGGCTCAAAAAAGCACTTACTCAAGACAGACAACTACTGGAGCAGGAACGCACTGGAGTGCACAGCACAGCAGGCAGTATCCTGGGGTCCTCGTTCCCGATGGAGATGCCACTGGCACAATGGTGCTGAGAGCTCATCTTGGCACCCCTTGCCTGTCCACTGTGCTGTGCCGAGCCCGTGCAGGATAAGAAAGGTTGGAGGGTGCCCCAGCCTGCCTCAGCTACCAGGAATCCTAAGGGGCAGGAAATACAATTCAGCCAAATCCCTTGTTCTGGGCTACAGCAAAAGGTATGGAGGGGAAATCCCTAATTGGCTTTGTGCTACCAGGAAGATCTCTTTTGGTTTTGCGCTGTCATAGGGTCACGGTGCTGTTCTCTCCAGTCTGGTATTTATGGCCCACCGAACTATCAGGGGGACCTCAGGCAATGGCACCGCATCAGGAGACCCGACTTTACAACTATGTAGTTGGAGAAAACACTAAGCAAGGTGGGTGCTAAATATCTCTCCAAACAGAATTTCATCTTCTACCTGCATCTGCTTTAGAGCTACAGACTTTTCAAAGCTGGAGAAAAATCCAAACAGCTCATGTAGAAGCACCTTTCCCTTGGATTTTTATTATTATTATTATTATCATTATTATTATTTTTAAAGAATATATTTTGTACCAAAACACTGTCAACATTCTTTATACAATGGAAAATGATGCAGTCATCATGTATCATGTAAAAGAATAAAAACAGAGCAAGACATTTCATATCGAGATTCAATCTAGTGCAGAGTCTGATGTAAATCTTAAAGCCACACACCACATAAAAAGATCATCTGAAAAATAACAGACTCTGGCTTAATTTGGAAAAAGAAAAAAAAAGTCAGGGAACTTCAACGTTAAGGCTAAAACTTCTGGTTTTAACTTTTATTATGTAGGTGGCAGCCTTATTCTCAATTCATTCACACCAGCAGCACCCCATTGGCTTTACAAAGAGATTTATGCTTGTGTGAAATAAGAATCAGGCCTTTATGCCTTTGTGCTCAGAGGACTCTGATTGACCTCAACAGGCTTTGGACTGGAGCCACAGTCGGAATTTCAGCTTGCAGTCTAAGGCTTCTTAACTGCAGGCCAAATTAGCACAAAATGAGGCTTTGCAACTGGCATTCTATCCTTAACTTCGGATATTCCAGTTCTGGTTGCCTTAAACCACATCTTTATTGCAAGCTTAACATAGTTCTATTTGTGAGGTTCTTCTCTGTGTTTTTTTTTTGTTTGTTTGTTTTTAATACTGTGCTACAAAAATCATGTTTGTATTCTGTGTCTGAGAAAGTCCCTGTCTTACATGGTTTCAAAATTGCCTAAGTATACATTTATATCATAACTACTCAGAAAGACCTGCTATAGTCTGTTGTGAGCAGCCAAGGAAAAAGCGTAGTCCTAAAGAAGTCAAAAAAAGTGATTGTGTTCATTTATAGTGTAGCACAATTACTGTGTTTGTACAGCTCTACCTACTATTTAAAAAGCTGCTTTAAAAGTTATTATTCATGTGCAGTAGCTGATTTTCAAGCATTAATAACTTGGCTGTCTAGACAAGTTTTAATTGTCATATCAAAGGCCGAATATGTTCTTAAATAAATGCAGAAAATCTCCCGTCTCCTCTGGAAAGAGGCTGGTTGCTGAACTAAGAGACTGCCAAATTTAAAATTTTTCTTGAGTTATAAAAGCACAGCTAAACCTACAAATTTGCTATTTAAGTTTTAAAAACAGACTGACCTTAATTCAAACCTATCCTGTGCAGCAAAGTTAGAAAGCCCTGAAAAACAGTTTCTAGTGAATATGCAAAGAGTTCCCCCCAACCCCCACCAACTACCACTCCCACACTTTCCCAGGGCCTAGAGGGCTTCATTAAAATGTAACTAAATGTTCAACAGGAAACATGATTTTTTCAAGAATGATATGTTAAGTTTACCCAAAGAACCTAAGACATTTTGTACATTCAAAATGTTTACACTTTGCTGTTCTTAACGACCAGTAATATTGTTCATTTTTACTAATAATACATACAATGAGTATAAATAAATAAACTACAGATAAGCTTTAAAAATCGTATTAACAATACATTGTGCAAAAACTTGTAACGATCTACATTCTATGCAAATACCCTGACTAAAATATACAGGCTGTGTCCTGACACCCTCATTCAGTTTTTGCATGGTCCTTGGGCCAAATCAGCAGGTGGGAGCGATCAGTGAAATTCCACTGCAAACAATGCAGGCAAGCTGATTTACACCAGCAGAAGAGCTGGCCCCCAGGTATGTGCAAAAATCCCACAGACATCAATGGGAATTGTGCTCGACTAAGGACTAGACAGTTTGATTGTACCCCATTAAAGTGAATGGGAGTTTTGTCACCGATTTCCATGGAACCAGGCTCCTGAGGACCTCAGCATGTGACCCTGTGTTGTGCTACACTACTCCACTTCAGTGCAGAAACAGTATTTGCAAAAGAAATCTTTTTTGTTGTTGCTGCTCTTCAGTAACTGGTTTTACCACTGCGTTTCAGAAATTGCCTTTCTGTGAGATTTAAAAAAAAAAAGACTGCAAGTCTTTCTGAATCCATTCCAATTTGATTATCCAGCACAAGTGAGCTATTTTGATCCAAGAAAAATGGCTCAGTGTCTATTAACCAATAACGTTCTTCATTAGGATAAACAACAGCCCAGTTCATTGGCATATGAGGAAAGGACTGCACACGGGGAAAGGAACGGGGCAGCCTTCCTACTATAGTTGTCTCCAGAGCCGGCTGTCACTTCTCCAAACAGATGATGGCACCTGAGCCGCTTTGGATTCTACAGTTCTAACAAGGTCAGCCAAGTTTTGTAAGCTGAAGATCTCCATTTATCTTTATTGTGTCAATTGCTGACAGTGTTTCAATACGATGGTAAAAATCAAAGAGCTGATGTCCATCCACAAATATTCTAAAACGGGGATGCTCACAAAGTATCTCAACCTGTAAAAAATAAAATTATGAGCCATGTTCACAATGTAACTGGGAACTTTTATTTCACAGGACACAAAGAGCACTCAGTTTGCATTTAAGTACTGTTGGTATTGTTGCACATTTTGCTACTTACATACTATGTAACAGAAAGGGCAGAGAGCAATTTGCCCCCACAATCCCAGTTACACTGTGATGAATCTGCTCCTACCTCACAGGGGCATTAATTCAATCTCACACTGTCATGGCCAGAAGGACTCTGGATCCCAGTCCTGTGGCTCTGCAGGCTACAGTCCCTTTGACATTAGGGAGGTTTTGCCTCTTGGAATAATGCCAGAAACAGACCTAAATTGCTAATTACAGTGGGAAGAAACCGTATCTCCAACGCACATTTTGCACATCTTGCTACAATTTGTTGTGGCAGAATGAGCAGGCAGTTCCCTCTGCAACACCCTCCAGACTTTGATAATTTACTGGAAAGGAGCAAAGATCAGTGGAGGAATAGGTTTGCCCTCTGCTCTCACACACTAGTGCTGCCCACGCTCACACAGCAGCTGCACAACCAAAAAGGCTTGACTGTTGTGGAGGTGCCCAGCCCAGGAAGGGACTCCCTGTCAGACTAGACCCCATACGGGGGGCTGGGGTGAGGGAGATTCAGTGCAGGATGGCCTGAATTCAGTTTGACCGTTGAGAGGAGGTGCAAACAGGATCAGGGAGGGATACAGCTCCTCCTAGAGCCCTGCAGAAATGCTCTGCAAAGGCAACAAGGCCTGGAATTGGACCATCCACTCTGAACAGGTCCGGGGATTCCTGATATTACTGTGGCTCAAAAGGGTGCCCTGTAGTTAAGCTTCGCAGGAGCTGCCACACCAGGAAGCAGGGAGTTGAGGGCACAGAATGAGTGGTTATAATCCTAGCTTGTACGCACCCTTGGAGACCTCTGGGTTTGGACAGGCTAAGAAGAAAACACGCAGGGAATCCATGAGTAAATCCTGGGTCATTTCTAGAGGCTGGTGGTCTGCAGTGAAATGCTGCTTTCAGGCACGTGACTCTCCTGCTAGAGCCAGTGATAAACTGGGTGAGTCCAGACTTAGGGCATGCTGCACTAGAGGAAGTGGCAGTGGACAGTCTAAGAGAGCTTAATTTTTTCATAAGCCTTGTCCCAGGGGGACCTGGTAGCGCACCACGAACCAGGGAAACACCCATGCTGCTGTGTAGCTCCTGTGTCATTGCGGCAGGTGCATCCAGCCTGAGGCCTTGTTATGTAAAAGATATGGTTAGCCTCAACACTGCTTACGATCCACTTTTTCAGATCACCCTGGGCAACACCAGAATGATAACTGAACTGGATCACAAGTAATTGGCAAGAACACTTAACTGTCCATTTAATTTATTCACTGAGAGGGAGACTATCAAGGTACAAAGTCAACTGGGAGCCTAAATTCCATTTACGTGTTTGGGGGGAAAAAAAACCCTTCCCCTTCTACAGTAGCTCATGCCAAAGATGTGTGATATTGCTGTCCTCTAATGTAAATTTTGATTAGCGGGATATCCACAGAACATGCTCTGGATAATTCATCTAGCTTGTCTGAAGGCCCAGCCACCACCCACTGAAGCTAGCAGGATAACCCTCTCATCAAGAGCGGGACCAAACCTCCAAGCCCTTTCAAGCGCGTTTCCCACGTGCACCAAAGGGTGTTGCCAGTTATGATGGGAGAGTTTGTAGGAGCGAGTGGAGCACAATCAATTTACAGCAAAACCAGTCACAAACACCCTTGCAAAACCCAAGCATCTGGGGAGACAGTGAGCTTTTGGGGCTGGGGGAGATTATCTTGGGGGCAAGAAGGATTAAGAGAGTTTGGCAGCTGGTCAGAGCATTGGCATTTATCAGAGGGGCCACCAAGGTTTCATAAGAGGGACGGAGAGGAGGAGGAGGAGATTTTTTCTGGGTCAGCCGCATGGAGAAGGCATGCAGCCTTTTTTCTCAATGTAGCCAAACAGCTGAGAGAGGAGAAGCCCTCTGCAGCTGCATACTTTGTTAGTCCTGATTAGCAAAGACATCTTCACATAACCATAAACACTACAGATGGGAAACTGCTTCTAGGTCAACCCAGTCCATCCCTTGCACCACAGCATTTCCACGTACACCATTTTCAAGTGACTACTGACTCGCACTTGACACGAGATTTCATCCCAAGGGTCAGAAAAGAATACCACTATCGCTTAGTTATTTAATCTGCTAACACAAAGGGCTATGGTCAACCTCAGTGTAACATCCCTGCAGACAAAGGATGAGCAAGTTCCTCATAAGCTGCACTAAATTGCCAACAGTAGGCCCATTAAAACAAAACAAAACAAAACACACATCAAAATACATGGCAGTCCAACAGAGTATTTACATTCTCCAGTAATAACTGGAAATGCAGTAATAATATGGAGGTACTTCTTAATTTATAGCTATAAAACTAAACTCAGGAAGTGTGCTTCATCGCAGAGTGTTACTGTCTCCAGCTTGTCATAACACCCCCGTGATGTGTTTACGGCCCCACGTGAAGTGCCTGCGGTTGCAAGCGGCAGCAGAAGCAGGAGCCCCACGCAACTTTTGGTCAGCACAGCCAATCTGGCATCCATGGCCTCAGCCAGAGAGAAGCGCGGGCCACCCTGCGATTCCACAAGGGCCAAGTCCTACCCTGCGGCAGCAGCTCTGACCTAAGGACACGTTGTGAGCTACGGATCTTAGTACTCACCCGGAAGGGCTGGTCCGGTATAAACGGAAAGTAAGGAATAGACGATTGCTCTTCCCCCCATTCTCCGGCCACGCAGGAGTTTCTGACAAACTGCCTGTCGGTAAACACCGCTTTCAGTTCAATGGCCACGTCTGCAGGAGGATCCTCCGACTCCCCGCAGGTCAGGCTGATGCCGAAGCTGCAACGCCAAGAAAACTGCTCTCATCCAGCCAGGAGCAAGCAAACGAACCCCAAGCGCCACCGGCCTGTTTCCTCAGCTTATTAAAACACGCGGCGGGGGAACGGCAGCTCCCCAAAGCTCGGCAGGGGCAAGGGCACGACTATAGCATATAGAGCATACATAGGTGTGCGTGTGTGTATGCATATACACGCATACACACACGCGCACGTATACACATCTATATGTACACACACACACACACACATATGGTCTAACGTGCGTCCTCCTTCACCCCAAGCGAAACGCCGGGATCCCCTTACAGAAATGCCCCCTCTATGGGTCAAGGGAGAAACCAGCACGCTCTATTTAAAATGATAAAAATAATCCGCCTTGGGGAAGGAGGGGATTTCGGGCGCGGCGGGTGTCACCTCTCGGGGTTGAGGTCCACGATGCCCATCACCAGGATCTTCTTCCCCGGCCTCATGCCCCCTTTGATGTGCCCGCAGAAG